CGTTGAAGTACCCTTAGATTTTCTGGCAATTGGACATTGCTATTAAGTATAGACGAAAAGATTGAAATGTCTATATTACGACCCTTATTCTTTAAAGTTTCAAAATGTCTGCACATTGCACCTACCAAGTAAACAGGGAGGGAGAGGTGTATTTCTTTTATAAATAGAAAAAAATAATAAAAACAATAAGCTATCGAGAGGGGAAAAACAGTAGTAGATCTATTATACACCTGAGAAGACTTTAATATTTTGAAAAATTGAAAATACTGGACAGTTATGCGCGTCTGCTGAAGATGGTCTTTATTTTTATTTAGATAGGTTTTCGGCCGAAAAACCATACATGCATGCTTTTTTTTTTTGATAAAAAGATAAATTTATAACACTGAAAAGGAAGAGCCTACAAGAAAAGGGGTGTCAGCAGTATTCGAAAATTCTATTTTGAATTCGATATTCAACATAATCGAATCAAATTAGGATAATTCGAATATTTGATTGATTGAATTCGGATATGACCCGATTTGATTCGATAAATATCTGAATTTGAACGATTATTTAATTCTTATATATAATATAAAATATTTTATATAATAATTAAGTTATATAAATAATTTATATATTTATATATTTTATATCAATAAAATATTTATTTTATATATTTATTAATTATCTAAATTAATTAATTAATCAAATTCGAATCGAATATTTGAATACTTAATCAGATTTGAATTCGGATTTTGCCTGGTCCGATTCGAATTCGATCCGTTTACACCCCTATACAAAGGGCCTCAAAAAACGAGGAGGATCGCCTGACCAATAACAATCCCTCTCCAAAGACCTAGTAATCTTGGTCACTTCATGGGCTAGAATATAATCAGACCAAGGAAAATGAACTGCTCATGAAAAACTGAAAAATCAAGCTGAACTGAACAATTTGAATAAAAAAACCGATTAGTCAAACTGTTTGGTTTGATTTCGGTTTGCACTTTTGTATAAAAATTTGGTGGTTAACTAAACCAACTATATATATATATACAGAGGGGTCGTCTATGCATTTTGGCTTTGGGAGGGGGAAGAAAAGGACAATAGCGCCCCTCCAAGGCTTCAATAGCTATATCCTATATGACAACTAGTTTAGAACTTTGGGGAATTTGGGTAAAGTGATAATTGAATTTATAATGAGCAAAATACCCCCCCCCCCCCAACAACAACTAAAAAGCAACTAGTTTTTAAGGTATTTTGGGCAATTGAATTATTTTCAATTCCTATAAATAGCCTTATCCTCTACTATTCTCATCACACCAATTCAACAATTCTCTTCTCAATTCTCATACCCTCTCAGTATCTGATACAATTTCATACACTTACCCATTAGGCTTTGAGGCTTCAACCATTGAAATCAAGTTGAGATTCGAACCGCCAATCTGTGTAGTTAATTTTGTGTATTTGATTACACAATGCAACCTTTTTGAGACACAAAATATGGAGAAAAATTACAAAAATAAATTTGTAAAAAAGAAAAACAAACAAGGGAATGAACTCTCTTTGATTTTTACTCGATGACGTGAGCAAATTCTGATTAGCGGTCAAATTTGGTGAAGACGAGGGTTGTTGGCGTGTTTCTCGTACTTCTTGAAGTGTTGATGTAGATTTTTTTGATTTTGGTGCTTCGGGAGATTTGGTGTTGGCTTTGCACTTGATCGGTTGTGAATGATGCTTTTCTAAGAAGGGCTCTTTTGTGGTGGCTTGATTTTCTTTGGAGAACTTGAATCCAAGTGTTGTAGAGAACGAATAAGCTTTTCCCTTCTTTCTTCTCTCTGGATTTTGTAGTTGTTGGAGGTTGTAGGAGCTTGTAGTTGCTTACAATCCTCAAGTGTTGGTGTGTGAGAGCTTTTTGCAGTGTGATTCTAAAAAAGGAAGGAGAAACCCTCTTTCTTCCTAAGCAAGGCTATTTATAGCCTAGGGTTAACTCCTATACATGCACCATTATGTAGGAGTTAGTGGTCTTGCTAATGGGACCACTTATTACAATAGGAGATGGGTCAGATTGAACTTAATACACTTGGATCCTTAGGCCACCAAATCATATTTATGTAGACTTGGGCCTTGGGCCAATGGAGGCCCATATTAATTTAGAGGCTGTCATGTAAATTAAGCCCATTTATTTGGCCTAAAAATTCACATGGCTACAGTACAATTAAATTAATTTTTATTTTTTAAAATTAAAAAAATGGCCGGATCTTCTTCTTGAAACCAATTCCCCAACATTAAGTTGATTAACTCGATTTGGAAAATATTTAAAATAGAGGAAGTTGAGGGGAAGGGAAAAAGAATCGTTTGCCAAAAATGTAGGATAGACTTTAGTTTCAATAGCAAGGGTGGTACTGGGCCTATTGGTCACTTGGGCAGACATTTGCTCTTCCATGAGAAACAAGAAATAAACATCTACCTTAAAGCTTTGCCGGATGTTGAGGATGAACTATAAGATAAAGGAGGGCATGACACTACACCTGATGAAGTAGACGATTAAAGTCAAGGAGATGGAGTAATTTTTTAATTTTATTTAAATTATTTGTTATTTTTCAACAATGTAATTTTTTATTTTTTATTTTTTAATTTTTAAGTTTTAAATGAAATAAATTCCTATTTTTTTCCAATTTCTTGTCCATTTCTAGTTTTGGTAAGTTTCTTTTTTTATTTCTTTGTTAGATTTTTTATTTTTTAATTTTAATTTGTTCCCAAATGAAAGTTAAGTATTTTAGTTTTACTTCATAAAAAAATCAAAAAGTCAAAAAAAGTCTAGGCCTTTCTAGCCTGGTTTGGCCCAGAACCAAGGCTCGACCCATAGCTCAACACAACTCGGTTTACACCACTACTTTTAACATCCATGCAGACAAGACCATTTTGTCCTTAAAAAGTGAAATCAGATTTGCTCCTCATACCAACCGCTAGGGCCACAAATGGATAGGATCTGATTCAGTAAAGGGTATATTTGATCTTATCTCATAAGAAATCCGACTAATTTGAATATGATAAGAATCATCAAGAGTATGAGTTGAACTCAAATTCAAATATCTTATCAGATATCCGATTCGATTAGCACTGTAATAAAAAATTTATGATATAATATAAATAATATATGGTGAATTTGTTAGACTACCCGTATGGTTTAGCTAATTGACTAAGTGTACCCCTACTGTTTGAAAATTGACTGACACTACCCCTACTGTTTCTATCAATTGACTAATCCTTCTTAGTCATTAATGTGCGTTAACGAAGATGTAGAAAAGACTATTTTACCCTCCACTATAGATTACTCATATCTCTCCCTCTCCTTCTCATTTTCTTCGACAAAACTATCATAACTGCTAGAACTGCCGAAATGACGGATGATGACCGGATCTCGGATTTGAGTATCTCTCAGATCTCAGATCTGGGTCATATCTTAGATTTGGTTCCTTCGAGTTTGCACAACTACTATTACTTGGCTTCCAAGTCCGAACCGGTGGGTACAACCCAAGAATCCCTGCCCAAATCATCAAATCCCGTCTCTTTGCATCAATACCCCCGCTGTTGTAACTCCTAGCAGTAGCGACTTCTTTGGTCATTCCAAATCCGAGAAATTGTGTTGAATTACATAGTGTCTCGGATTTGGAGTTGCAAATCGGTGTTGGAGATTAGGTTGATTCAAGGGGGTCGGCCTCTATTATGCTAGATTTAGAACTGGAGGCTGTGCAAGTAGTGGAGAGAAATTCAGTCTGGATTGGAGGAAGAACCTTGTCCATGTTTCGTGTAAGAATAGAGGATCCCAACGATGGAAGGTGAGAGTGTTCGGACTCCTGCTACATGCTTGGCGCCTTGCAACCTTCAAAGAGATAGTGAATGCTATAGGGTGTTTCACCGGAGTTGTAGAAGAAAACCTGAAATGGGGGGAGCTTGAGGCAGCGCATGAGATCCCCAAGGCCCTGACTACAAAAGTCCTAGGGGAGATATTCGTAGTTAACGTAGTAGTAAAAGGATCAGCTTCGCTGTTCGCTAGATCAGCTTCGCTGTTCGCTAGACCAGCTAGAAAGTTTCGATGGATGGTGGTGGAGGATGAAGAGGAAGGATCACAAGGGACGAGAGGAGAAGAATTACCCTCGCAGGGGTGTGCAATCGAGAGTACTAAGGGCTGTAGGGAAGATCTCAACGTTCAAGGTGGGCATAGTCGTTGGTGGTAAGAGAGGCGTCGCTACTTTTCCTAGAAGAGGGGAAAATGAGCCCATGGAAGCTTTGGCGAGGTTGGAAGGGGGAGAAAATCGTTTTTGTTGTTCGGTGCCAAGAGCAGGAAGAAGATGAACAGTATTAAGCCAGAACCGTGCCTTAAGGACCTTACTCAGATCCGAGCTCCTTAAGGATTGAAGTAATTCGGTTTGATGTTGAAAGGAAGAAGACAATAAGGGTAAAATTGGGTTTTAAAAAAATATACGTCACTTATATACAAATAAATTTAATAGAAAATTGACAGATACAAATGGTAAGAGTAGAACTAGTCAATTGTCAGAAACAGTAGAAATAGCATCAATCAATTTTCAAACAATTAATCAATTAACTAAACTATAAGGGTCGTTTAAGAAATTGACCCAATAATATATTATATTAATAATAATATATAATACATTGTATATAATATATAATATTTTATAATTAACGGATCGGATCGGGATATATCCGAATTTAATCCATTAACTAAACGGATTAATTATTCCGCTCCGATCCGATTTCTTAGAATCAAGGCAGATATCCAAATCCTGCTCTTATTAGATCGAATTCGAATTCCAATCCTATCTAATCCCGCTTATTTGGATGTTGCAACTCTATCACTAACTGGTGGTTCAATTTGTATGGTCGCTGACTCGCTGACTCGCTGGTACGTGCCAAACTTCCTTTGCTGACCCGACGATCTTAGACGGATATCTTGCTGCTTGTATAAAGCTTTGCACTCATCGAATACAACTCCCACAAGCTGCTGCTGCTCTCTCTCTCATCTCATATTTCTCTGGGAGACTAAGGTGGAGGAGGCAATGGATTGTTGCGAAGAAGAAAATCTACAACCGGAGATATCTCTCCAGGAGCACACAAACCAGCCTCAACCATCTTACTCACAGCCGGAAAATGACTCAACAAAGCAACCACAGTTCCAACAACCACCACCGATAGAAATACCACCAGCAGCAGCAGCGGCAGTAACCGGTATTCCAGTTCAAAACCCATTGGAGGCTCATGGAAACTGGACGACTGGGTTATTCGACTGCATGGAAGACCCTGAAAACGGTACGGATCTACTTTATCGAATGAACACTTGGGCTCCATTTGTTTGCCTCATGTGAATCGCATACAAAATTTACACCGGTTTCAGTTTTGCACCCCTTTGTTTGTAACTGCTATTTATTTTCTTATGTGATGCAAAATTTGCATTTCTGCCTCATTTGTACTTATTTGCTTTACAACTTTTACATTTAGAAAACTGGTACAAGACCCATTTCAAATGATGGTTGTTTCTTCAACATTGCAGCTATCGAGACCTTTTTCTTCCCCTGCTGTACGTTCGGGGAGGTTGCAGAGATCGTTGATGATGGGGAGACTTGTAAGTACAACATCTCTCGGCACCATGAATCATCTTTTATGGGTTTTGTTTGTTTATTTTCATTAAACATAGTAACTGGGTTGATGATGATGATCCCACTGAGAGTTTCACAGAACCTACGCAAGTAATTAAACATGTTTGGTGTCTGATGCAGCATGTTGTCTGGCAGCGCTGCTTTATCTTATAATTATGAATTGTTCGTTGCCTCCATGTATCCTTTCATGTGGTTTTCGTAGCATGTTAAGAAAAAAGTTTGGGCTTGTGGAGTCGCCCCTCCCGGACTGGGCTGTCCATCTCTTTTTCGAGCCGTGTGCCCTCTGCCAGGAATACAGAGAACTCAAGAATAGGGGCTTGGACCCTTCACTAGGTAAAGAAGAAGAAAATTCAATATAACATTTTCTTGCATACTCGAAGGAACCATATAAGCACTTAAGTAAAGTAAATATTATGATGACTGTATTAAAATTTGTTTTTAACGTCTGTTAAGGGTAGATTGGGTATTTTAAGAGACAGGTGTCAAAAATTTTTTAAACACTTTGCCTCTAACCAATCATGACTGAATACGTGGCTTAGTGGCCTCTTAATTAATTTGTGATTGGTTACGTAGCAAATGATGCACGCTAGCGTGTTCACTTAAGTCTTAACCCTGACCCTCTGATCTGATGGAAAAGAAGCAAGAAAGAGGGAGGAGGTTTGGTTTACAATGAAAATATGTTTAGGTCAGGGGTCAGGAATACGGTTTTTTGTCAAGAGTAGAACTCTTCGCCGTTTCTTATTTTGGATTCTTGTAAAATGATGATAATTATTGCGACTTTTATTTTGTAGGATGGAATAAAATAAAAAAGCAGCAACAACAACAAGGACAAGTTGCCATGGCACCTCCCCCAACTCAAACCATGAAATCACACGACGAAGTTGTTGATGAATGTTGCTGATGATGATCATATAATTATGATTTGGTTGGGGTAGTTCTTATCATTTATAATATCATAAAAGCAGATATTTGCCTTGATTTTGATGCAAGTTGTAAAAGTTAAATTTGATCATAATGCTATGTGTGGTAATTGTAATGCAAATAAATTTGCACTGAAGTAAAACTATAACAGTGCAAATGATTTGATTGTAAGTTTTGATCTATTTTAGTTTATTTTATTTGGTTGCAGTAAAAATAAATGCAAAACAAAATTAAACAGAAATTTGCATTGAACACATTGTACACCTGCAATAGCAAGTGCCCTTACAGTATATTATTTATAATACTCTTGTTAAAAACATCAATGGGGGGAGGGGGGAGTTGTGGTCAATGGAATTGTTAATCTCATTGACTAAGAAAGTCATGTTCTTGTTTTTTTTTTTTTTGGATTTATGTGGGAACCAGAAAAAGTTTTCTCAGGTGGGAAAATAACTTTCCTATTTGGGGGAAAGTTGTCAAGACTTGGATGAAACAAAAATACTCCTTTCAATAATGGATTTTTATAGCTAAAGTGGTTATTGATTTATTCATCTGAAAAATAAAAGAATATGGATAAATACATTTGACCGGATAAATAATTTACCGAAAAGTGAACGAAGCCTAAGAATCAGAAGAACACAGATAAATTCGCTTACCTGATTAAGTGTTTTACCCAGGTAAATAGCTTTTTTTAAAAAAAAACAATCGAGATCCAAAACTAATCTGCTGAATTTCCCAAATAATATGGCCAGATTTTCATCTACTTGAAATCTCTCTTTGCCCATCAATTAAAAAACAAAGAAAAACTTGCACAAACAGGGACCTAGAGAGCTAGCATAGACAAGTAAAAAATAGAAGTGCAATTGAAAAAAAAAAGGAAAAGATAAAAATTTCATCCGAAAACTTTTGGGCATTGAAGAGGACTTGATTTCTTTATGATTAAAGGGTTGGGTGTCGACTTCTTCCTGATATACTTTAAATCCAGATTTAGAAGCTTTGATTTAATGGATTTCACAAAATCCAGTTGACCTAATACCGAAATATTAATTTGAAACGAACCTTTTACTTTTTCAACATCTCTAAAACACCATTTTTGAATCGCGTGTAAATTCTACAGAAGCAAATTTGTATGTTAGTGCAATGGAAGTGTAGTGGATAAATCACGAGAAAAGCATATAAAATGATGCAGGTTTAAAATTATGCTTTGAGAAGCATTAAATTGATTTTTTAATAACAAGACAAGTCGGCCTTATATTTAAACTCACTAACGGGTTTTAACGGACATTTTGGACAGTGGATTTGCAGCAATTGGTTGTTAGTGGACTTATAATAACTAGTTTTTTAACGCTTAAAGAGCTAGTTTTACATTAAATATCTCAATAACTATTTTTTATTAAATGTTCTAATGATTATTTTTTATATAAATCCTTATAATTCTAGGCATGATGCATCAAGTTCTTTTCTTTGTTTTGTGAAATTTAGAGATTTCTTTTGGGAGCTGAGAAAGTCCTCTCTTGGATAGGTGAGTCTTATTTTCTTTGCATGAATAAATCTCTAATGCCATTGGGTGATTCAATCTTCAACTTGTTGCCTTTTTATTATAATCCATCCACATATTAGTAACAAAATTCCTTCCATATTTTTTTTCCTTTTTATTTTATTGAGTAATTTTTTTCTATTTTCTTTCTTCATATTAGAGCTACATCAATTGATACTAAAATGGGTTGAGTTTTTCTTTTTGGGTAAAAAAGTGGGTTGAGTTGGAGCCTACAAGTTTATTGCTTTATCCTTGCCTAACAAAACCACAAAGAGAGCCACTAGGAAGAGGCTAGCATTAGAGGTGAGCACTGAGTTACTTAAGTAATTATAGAATAGGAAATTGAGCCTACCCAATCTATTACAGAGTAGGATCTAGCTCCAAATTCTTGGAACCTACCCCAGGGTCTATTGGTTTACCCTACCCAAACCAGCCTTGGTTAGACTTGGTAGAACCTGTCTTATAACTGAACTTGCCTTGAAATAAACACCAAAATACTTTTGGGGATATAAAGATTTGAAGCCAAATACTCATGGTTACAAATGTTGTGGTCTCACTTGACCATTGAGTTATTTAAGTAATTTGATCATTTGTTTTCGTTTTAATATTTGAATGTGTAGAATAAGTAATGTAAAAGGTAATATTTACTAAATTTAAATTTAAATTATAAGATTTAAACAATATAATGGTAATCTACATATTAAATTTCTCAATTTAATCAATACAAATAATATAAGTTTTAAACTATATATTTTATTTATTGAAAATCAAGTTTCTAAATAATATGCATTTCTTTTTGAATGGGTATAGTAAAGAAAGAACAAGTTCCACGAGTAAACCTTGGAACTGACCCCAAAACTGCCAAGGTTAGAACCGACTTTTACAGGGTAGGTTCCGGTTGCAAATGCTTGGAACAAACTCTATAGGAGAGGTTCCAAGTTCTACCATGGAACCTGACCAAACTTACCCAAGCTCACCCCTAGTTAGCATCATGAAATATAGCTAAGTTTTGAGATTTCAAAACTATCTTTAATGCTCTTCTTTTTTGCAATGCATTTTTTTTGTACTAATACAAATTGATGGATGGGGATAGATTTGAGCTGAGTCGAGCCGAATACAAATGGAAGCTCCCCGTCCCGCACTCCGCCCCGCCTCGCCCCGCCCCGTTGCCATTCCTAAATGTGCCTTTACTCATTTTATGAAGGATGCAAGTGGATTGGCGGAATGGTTGAATTGAGAGAGACATGTATAATGGGCTATTGATCAATCAAGAATGAACAAGTCAATGTTCTTTGCACATGTGGCCCACACTTTATGTGCATTTTAATAAGTCCCACCGCCCATGTTCAGTCTTTACGAATTAGAACCCTACTGATCTATTATGAGTTCATTTCATTATAGATGGACCAGGTCCAATCTACTATGATCAATAATTTGGAGCATTCTGGACTATACTAATTTAATGCTTGGACTGTTAATTCTACTATACTAATTTAATGCTTGGACTGTTAAATTTGTTATTGATTTTAATTTAGATGAATCCAATCCAAATTTAGTCTATTGACACCTGTACTCTTATCTTCTATCGATAGATTGTTTAGTGATTCAGTGCAACCCAGTCTAATATATATCTATTATAGATGGATCAGATTCAATCCTATCTGATCAAGATTTTGGACTATTTTGGACTAAACCAATTTAATGTTTGGACTGTCTAATCTGTTCAAAATGGTTTTAATTTAGATTGGGTCCAATCCAAACCTAATCTATTGACACCTATACTCTTATATTCTATTAATAGACTCAATGTTAATTAAATCCAACTGAATCTAATATTCATTATAAATGGACTAAGTCCAATCCAATCCAATAAATATATACTTTATATCATTAAGTTTGGACTGGTCCAATTCAATATATCTTATTGGACCTTCCAACCTGTTCAAATTGATTTTGATCCACACGGGTCCATCCGAAAGTTGGTCCATTGACACCCCATCTGGATCCAATCTTTAAGAGCTTTTCATCAATGAAGATGGTTTTGCGATCGCGCGACCACGCATAAGGATTATAAAGCTGCGTGCTCACACGCAGTTTGGCCCGCACTCAAAGGCCTGGCATGCGTAGGCCCGTTCTTTACGCAGACCGGGTTGGGCATCTGAGCATGTCTGAATAGGCCTTTTTTTAAAAAAAATAAAAAAAATCTGAATAGGCCCATTCCATTGAGACCAGATTTGCTTTTTTTGATTTGTTCTCATATTAAAAAATGCAACCTCTCCTTACTTTTTTATTTCATGGACCATGCAACCGGGGTAGTCCATCTCCAAATCCATAACTCCCAATCCCGGTGTAATTAGGATTCGATCTCAAGTCACAACCAATTAGAGATCTGATTGATGGGGCTTGATGAGTTATAATTGTAAATAAACATACTACACATTAGGGGTGAGCAAATAGGTAGGTTCTACTTAGAACCGAATGAAACTGACCTCGAACCGGCCTTAAACCAATCTTACCCAATGTGTTATAGGGTAGGTATGATTCTAAATTCTTGGAACTGACCCCATCCAGGTTGGTTCCAGGGTTTGGGGGTTTATCCTACCCGAACTGACCCGATGAATCAGCTATAGTTGGCCTTGGTGGAATTGGCCTTAAAACCAAAATTGCCTTGAAATAAACTCCAAAATATTTTTAAAGATGTAAAGATTTGAACCCAAGCAGTCATGGTTACAAAAGCTACGATCTCACTTGACCATCAGGTTACTTAAGTGATTTGATCATTTGTTTTCATTTTAATACTTGTATTGTATAATAAATAATGTAAAGGGTAATAATACTTACAAAATTTAAATTATAATGACAATTTTTCAATCATATATTAATATATTATGATAATCTACATTTTAAATTACTTGGTTTAATCAATAAAGATAATATAAGTTTTAAACTATATATTATCATTATTGAAAATCAAGTTTTTGAAAGATATGGTTCAATTTTTTTTCTTGAAGGAGAGAGTAAAGAAAGAACAGGTTCTATAGGTAAACTCTAGAACCGACCCTAAAACTGCCAAGACCAGAATTGACCTTGGAACTAACCTTCGTAGGTTCCAGTTCCAAAAACCTAGAACCTTACCGAACCGACCCATGCTCACCCCTACTACACATGACACAATGTGTAGGTTCAGGCTGGATTTTGTCATCCCTTATCACGGATATATGGATTTTCTACAGGTTCTCTAAGAATGTTTTCTGGATTACTAGTTAAAAATGAAAATCGGTCTCATTTATGCCCTAAATAATGGAATTTAAGGTTATATTTAGTTGTAGTGCAAACCTGAATCAGATACAAGTTTTGCATCTGGTTTAGTTCTACATCTGTTTATTTGCATGCAATAATGATTTGTACTCATTCCTTATGCAAAATTTCTACTATATTGAAAGTACAAAGTCCCTGCTTTATATGAGAGAATTGAGGTGTTAGGAAGGTGATGCAAAATTTGCATCAAATTTTGTAGTACAAAAATGTACCGGTTACCGGTGCCCAGATCCGGAAGGCTACCGTCGACGTTGGAGAAGGTGAGGCCGACCTGGATGAGATT